GGAGTACTGAGAGAAGGAGGAGACAGAGCTACCTGAAATGGTTCTAGATACAGCAGAGGGTATTTTATGATGGAAGGTGAGGAGCTGAACACAAATGCTGGAGGGGAAAAGGGGCAAGAACAAGAGAGAGCTGGTACTAGTAATCACAGAGACAGTGTGAGTAACAGTAATTAATAAGCAATTGGCAAAGTGCTTGATCTGGAAAAGGAAAATGCACACACATACAAGCAAACTTGTGATGTTCACCCCCATTTGATATGACACATTCGGCTCCATGCTAATAGTCCATGTGTGGAATCTCTAAAGCTGTGTCTTGCCAAATGTTAACTGTTAGTATATGCTGAAACCTCATTATGAAAGGAATATGATCAAAAATAAGGAATACTACAACCAGCTGTAACCTATAGCATTCGAGTAATTTTCTTGCTGTAAGAGACAAACCCTGATTACTCAAGTCCAGCACTTTGTAATGCTTCATGAAAAAAAAGACAACAGTTTTCCTCAAACTTGTTATTTTTCTTTAAAGTAGATGACTAGATTCTACACTATCTTTCAGTTCCAGATTTGACCACCTGATTATTTTTAAATACTGCAGAAAAGATCAACTTAAATACCTTCAGCCTCCTCAACATGATGTCACTTGGATATATTGCAGTGTTTATGATACTTATTTTATGTTATTTATGTGATTTTTTTCAGAGAAAAAGAAAGAGTAGCAGATCATCTCTTAGATACAAAAAAGGGAACCTATCACAAAATTCTGATTTCTTAGAAGAAAGCTCATGCAAAGTGCAGTCTATCAAGATGAGAGAGACAGAATGATTCCTCATGTTTCCTCAAGCCCTAGCTAATTTTTGAAACCTTTACTTTAGAGACGGGACTCTGGCATTGCCTCCTGGTTGGGCTCTGACCAGCTTGAGTTTTCAGCTGCACCCAGGTGCTTTCATTTCACCTCTTTGTGAGGCTGGCTGGTTTCCTAAAATTCTTCTTCCATTATAATTGAACCCATTAAGAAGGGAGTAGGAAAAAAGAGAAGAAATCTAATATGGGATTATTTTATTACTGCATAAAACTCCATAGTCAGAACGGCAAATACAGAAAAATCTCTGCACACAGACGGCTACAAAGTTAAAGCTGAGTAAGTGATCAGAGAGAGAGAGGAAAACAGGACCATATTACAGTCTGTGTTCCTCTGTATGACTTTGTATGCAGTTTTTCAAATTTGAAATTCAAATAAGGCATATATATATATATATATATATATATATAATTGAAAACAATTTTTGACAAAGCAGACTAGATATCCAAACAAGAAGATGCTGCTCTGCCCTCTCCACTGAATCACGGAAGCCCTAGCCTTACCTTATGTTACAGGAGTGGAATTGTAGGGATTCATTGGAACAAATTTAACCCTTTTAACTTGCTATCACGAAATGCTTTCATTTTACATGCCCTGAGGATTCTGGGCAGGGCAGGGCGGAGGGGAGCTAGGAAGGGTGCAGAGGGAAGGATGTGAGGGAAAAGGAATAATAGGAACCTTTTTAATACATTGATGAGAAATGGAAAGGGATTCATAAATGCAGTATAGTGATGACCTCTCCTCTGGGCGGTTATGAAAAACAGCCTTGTTTTCTTTTATAAAGAAATGCTGGCATGCTTGACTTTACTGAATCAGGAGAATTGTTTGGCAAATAACAGTGATGGTGTGTGTCCTTGTCAGAACACCTGCTGTATTCTCCCAGCAAACACTGGGGCCACGGCGTCTCTCCTCTAATGACACCTCATCAATCCGCTCCTATCAATGTCCCAGCCATGGAGGTGACTTCGAGTGTTCAGAAGCCTTAGAAAATGTCAACGTTTTGGGAGAAAAGGTCAGTCACAGCTTCCCCCCCACCTCCCCTGCCAAGCCACCATGGGCCTGGCGTTCATTATCCTAATTAAATCCAGCAGCTGAACATCTTCTTATCTGTAGGGGAGGAGAGCAGGGGCATGATGCAATAGGATTGATTTGCATATCCAAAGTTAATTAGTGCGGAGGAGCAGGTGTACAGTAATAATAATTATCACACATGACAATCACCTGTGACCACTTCCCCGGGCCCCTTCCGGGATTCGGCACAGTGATTGCTGGCTGGTTTTTTCCTTGCTTGATACCCATCCTGAGCTGTTTATGTCCTTGTGCCTCTCTTCACAAACCTGCTGTGAGTAGCTCGTCTGTTCCTTACCAGGCGCTGTATTTTTCTCTAAAGGTATATTTCCCCCCGTTTCGTTCAGAGGGAGGGACTATTGTAAGGCAGCTATTTTCAATTTTGTTTGCTGAAGTTGTCACATCCTAGCAGAGCCTGAGTGTTTATTTTTAGATTACATGTAAGTGGCTATGGAAAAAAAAAAGTACTGGGGATCATAATTTGAAAGTTCCACTTTGCATCATTTGAACATTTTATCTCGAGCATATGCTGGCAAGTCACTGTGATCCAAAATAAACTTATTAGGCAGCAGACACATGAAACCAAGTGACAGTTTGATGTTTGCCATGAGACTGTCCCTGCCAGTTTGAAGAGGGCAGTGGGGCTGAATCTACAGCCTTAGCCCTGCCCGGCTGTGGACAGGGCAATAAAACACAGGCTGTTGATGCTCATTGGACACCAACCTGAAGAAAGTGAAAAAAGACTTTGGTGTGTTGTGTAGGGTCTGGCAGAACCTATAGTAAACAAACAGACATTAAAATGATATACCAATAGGAAGACTTCAAATTGTAGCCCTGGAGCAAATTCAGTGCAGCTCTCACGATGCCTTTGTCACAGAATGCTTAGATGGATTACACTCTTTGGATTTCACTTGCCCATAAATGCATAGGTTATGCATGTTTGAAAGTGTTTTCTCTGTCAAATGAGGGTAATTTTTTCAAATTAAGCCAAAAAACATGCCCTGGAAATAAGATGTGCTTTTACAGAAATGAATTATCGCGATAACTTATGCAGGAGTTTAATGCTCACTATGTTAGGCTAATAAGTAGGTAAGAACCAAATATTAAATACAAAGAAGTTTTTGTGGGTCAAGGGGAGGCAGTAATGTTAAATTAGCCATGAAACTGGGACTGTTTTTAATTTTTTTTCATTCTGACGTTTGTCTGTTCCACTTTGATTTGTCAGGGTTCACTTTTGTCAATCGAGTCAAGTATAACAGGAAGGCCTCTATCTCACGCAGCCGTAATGATAAGTGACAGAGGTGGCAAAAGGCACTCGACCGCCTGCAGAATGCATTCAGAATTCAAAACTTTGCTTATCGATCTTTTATTAAAACTTTTTGTAATTGTGCAAAATTATTTTCCCACTGGGTTAGCTTTCAGTATGGAGGACAATTATATTTCTGACACAAAAATAATTATAGTTAAAAAAGTACAAGCAAAAAGTGTTTATTTTTTTAAAGCAAAATCCATTCATTTTACATGCATGAAGAGGCATTGCAGTGAACATTAACTACTTAGTGAACTAGAGCTTTAGTTTTGAACATTTCACTTTCTGAACAGGCAGCTGGGTGGAAATCCAGCTTGTAGAAACTTAAAGAAATTATGGTTTAGGGTTAAAGACTTTCTAGTCCTTACCTGTTTATCAAGGAAATACTTTGGTGTATCACATCTTTAATCTATCGGTGTTAATGTAGCTAGAGTGGTGAATCTAAATTCCTTCCAACAGAATAAATATTAACTATAAGTAGCTACGTCTTGTGGAATTAGCTGTGGTTTTCTATATGACCGATGTCTTCTTAGTTGAAGATTTTTAATTCAAGAGCCAATTGCTCTGGACAGTGGGCTGTGCTTGTCTAGGTCAACATTTGAATAATTCCCAAACTTCTGATTTGCTCCTCTTTATTTTTATTTTATTTAAAACCCTAGCAGTCAAGTTTCTAGAAAGAGTTGCCACGTGTAGAGTCCCCTAAAATGCAGAGATTAACACATTCTCAGTTGGGCGTCTTTATTGTGTGAGTCCCGGGAGCTGGAACTCTAGGAAACATGGAGACGTGAATTTATATTTCAACTAGAAGCTTTTGTAATCAGCTCAAGTTTCTGCAAAAAGTGACACCACTACCCCTTCTTACACTCCACCCTAATTGTATGCTCTTATTATTGAATGCAAGGCATATCCATTGTGTATTTATTAAGCACTCACATGATGTTAGGCAATTCCTCTTAAATGCAAACATACACAAGTTTTACTCAAGTCTCCATTCTTGTTCTCAACCAGTTCACAATCTAGAAGAAGTAGACATGTGAAAAGTAAACTGCAATTCTATGTGAAAAGTGCCAGGCATTTTCTAAGTGGGGAGTGCAGGACCATAAATTGGTTATGGGAAAATACTGGAATGTCTATGTATATACATTTTTCAAATTTGTTATTTTAAATTTCACTTTTTGTACTTAATATACATAACATAAGTATAAATAAAGAAACTAAAAATTTAAATTCAAAATTTAAATTGTCTTTAACATGGAATGTGTTTACATTTTTATCTCATGTCAATGTTTTCATAATACATGTGGGAACTAGCATCATATGGTAATGTTCATACTGTGCACGAAAGGTTTGGAAACTTTCATTTTAGTCTTGGTTATACCGCCAGTGTGTCCATAAATGAGTACTTAATCTTTAAACTATCTGGTAGTGTAAGTCTTATCTCTTCCTCTTTATTCCTTCTCCTCCTAAATAATAAGCATCTATTAAAAGATTACTATGTACCAAGAACTTTGCTAAGCAATGTATTAATCCATTAGATAGGTATAAAACCTCCTGAGGGAGAGACTATAATCATCCCCATTTTACAAATGAAGAAACCGAAGCCAGTACAGATTAAGTAACTTGTTACTTATTAAGTAACAGATTAAGTAAGGGGGCAAGCTAAAAGTCTGAAGATTGGATTAGTGAATTTCTAAAATATGTTTTAATTCTAACTTTGTTGACTTGCCTGTGGTGTTTCTAAGAGCTCATTTAATAAGTCATTGACATTTATTGAGCATCTACTACATCCGAGATGTTGTGCTAGGTATGGATTAAACCAAACTAAAAGAAGGCTCCGAGTCTATCAGTAAGGTAGGCACATACTCCTATAACTATGGAAACTCAGAGGAGAAAGTATGAACTGGACAGAAAATGCCATGAAATGGGATTTTAATATGAGTGCTGAAGTAGAGAATGACGGGTAGACAGCGCAAGGCAAGGAATCAGGAGAAAGAGGACTGCATTAGCCAGAGAGCAAATGTGAAAGAGAACGGCATGTCTGAGAAACGTCAAGTGCTGCAGCATGGTTCCATTCCATGCTGTGTATGGAGCTGGAGGTGGGGAGGCTCGAAGTGAGACAGGAGCCAGATCCTGAGTAGTCTTCTTTGTTGGTGTGGATTTTAGCTTGCAGTGGATGAGTAACTGAGGGATTTTAAGGGGTGAAATTATATGACCAGATGTACATTTTAAGGTTGTATGTATGACTGGTGTGGAGATTGGAGGGGAGGGGTGGGAAACTGGGAGTCTAGCTTTAAGAGTATTGCAATTATCTTTTAATTCACTTATTCATTTATGCCATTCTATTTATGCATTCATTCATTTAATATATATTTTTTGTGTGTGCCTACTATGTCCAGTCTATATACTACGTGGCATTTGAACTATATGAGTGAAAAAGAAAGGCTAAAATCCTTGCCTTTGAAGAGCTGAAATTCTAACAGAGTTTAAGTATAAATATGAGGAAGGACATAAATATGGTTATGTGGGCACAAATCCAAGAGGAGATGGATTGGTGGAAACTGGTAGGACCAGTGGTTAGCACTGAATCATGGATTCCTGAAAGAAGTGTGGAAAACCCATAGAGAATCAATCCTTGAAAAATGGAAAGTGATCCCAACAACTGAAAAGGGATTTTACTGCTTGAGAAAAGTGGGAGAAGGTAGTCAAACTGATTTCATGGATGCTAAAGGTGGAGCAGAGAGGAGTCGGTGGCCCCTGGGAACATTCTGTGGGTGATCAGGATGATTCATGAGACTGATGATTGTCACCTGCCTGCTACTGCCTGACCTTTGACCCCACTGGTTTCCACCACAAAACTTCCTCTTGAAAGTTTTGATTTGATGTTTGGTAGAGGAATAAAAGTAATGTTACTGGCAGCTATGATCATAGAAGGGACTTCCCGAAAACAGAACAACTGGACATAGATATTTAATACTGTGAATTTATATTTTCAGGCAGTATATAAAGCTCAAGCCTTTAATCACAGTAAGAGTCAGGTCTATCTATTTCAAACTTTAGAGAATAATATATCAACTTTGTAAATGAAAAGACATAGCAAGTTTACATAGAGTTGAAATCACAGTGAACAATTTGCAAATGAGTCTCAACAGGTAACAATGCTATTTTGTCACATGCCATCCTCCTTGACCTGCCAAGGTATATAAAGCTTTGTAGAAATAACCAACAAAGGGAAGTTTGGTAAGGGGGTAGTTGGAATACCAGATCTTCAGGGCTCTTTCTAGCCTTGACGTTGACTCCTTTGAGGTAGACATTGGGGCAGATTCTTGACTTTTGTGTGCTTGTCTGTCCATTGGGAGAAAGGCAGTACTTGGCACCTGGACAGGGTTTGCAAAGTGCATTAAGAGTCTGAATTGAAAGGTTGTAACATCAAACATAAGTAGATAGTGTTCTATTTTAATTGACAACATGAATAAGAAGCTGAAACATCTCTGAATAAGCATCTTTTCAGAAATGGGGAATGATTGGCAGAGGCCCAGAAGGCATGGTTCCGGCCATTGCAACTTCACATCTGCAGGACAGCTTTGGAGCTGGCCTCAGATCCTCGTCAACTTGAAGGCATATGAGAGGGAAAGTGAGCAGAGCTCTCCTCTTCTACTGCCCCCTATGACATTCTGCTGAAGTAACTTTGACTCCCTGGGGCTGTTAGTACAAATTTAGAGAAGGCATCAGTCCTGGGGAGATCAGTGATAAAATGTTAACAACAGGGGAAGAAAGGGTCTTTGTTTATTTTTCCTTTTTCTGGTGTATGGCTAAACAGGTTAAACACCTGTGAGAAGAGGGTGCTTTAGGGACACCCTCGTGCTGAAATTGTTCCTGGGTGTCTTGGAGATTGCACTCCTCTCCTTGTGCAGTGATTAATTGCCACTTCATCGCTGGCGAGGCTGGCAGCGAGGAGCAGGGCCTTCACCTGCAGGTGTTGCCATGGCAAAGGACACTTAGAATAGATTCAGGCAACATTAAAAGGCAAAAGTGAAAATGAGAATAAGTGGGAAGTAGAAGCTTGATTTGAGGAGACATTTGCATAGATCGAATTTCCTCCCTCACAATAGCCATTGCCAAACTCAACATCAACCTCACCTTTTCCCTCCTGGCTATTGAGCTCCTCTGAGTCCTGATAACCTGGCACAGAAGCTCATGTTTTACAAAATTAAAAAAAAATTAAATATAGAAAGATGTGCTTTTAACAAACTATAAAAAATATTCTGCTCATAGGAGACATGGTTTGGTTTCTCAAACCCAACAGAATTAATAAATTGTGAAAGGAGAATTAGTTTATGGACTCTATAAAAAATTTCTTTTTCTCTATTCAAGAATCAGCTAGCAAAGCAGCTCATTTAATCTGCTACCCTGGATTTTTCTCTCATTCCCACCTTCTTTACTGTCCATGTGGCTTCTCAAAGAAGCCAAGCCACATTTCTTTTGTGTCACTCAGAAAGACTCTGCCTTAACTTTCACTTGGCTTGCACATTGAATTCAATTTTCTCTTTCTTCCTTACTTTTACATTTTTGCCTATTATTCAAAATAACCTAGTTTATTCACTAAGGTTTCCCAGAGTTTGAGGGTATTTATGGTCAGATTTACTACAAGTCATTATCCTCTATGTTAGAAAACTGTGTCTATATATCTATCTGTATATTTTAGGAATTTCCAGTTAATGCCAGTGACAGAGTCCCTTTTTTTTTACTTTGAATGCACTTTATCTCCATAGTGATATTAATAATGATGACAAATATGCATTGGCTGCATAACTAGTCACATCAGAGTCCTTAGGGGTGAGATGTAACGTTCAGGTGCTATCGCCAAGCTACCGAGGGCTGAGGAATCATGTTGGGAAGGTTCAAGGGATGATTGGGAAGGCAATACTTATTCCATCGTGGATATCCTGTACATATTGGTCTTCTAAATGTCTTAGGAGTTTTTATAAAAGAAATGTGCCAGGCCTCTCGCTGCTCTTTCCAGCAGTGCAGAGTGAAGTGTGGGCCTTGGTCAGGTTGGGCCTGGGCCCAGCATCTGTGGTAATCTTCTTTATGTACCTTCTGAATTGAGAAAGATCAACTCACTCTTAGATGCTCTTTCTACTAGGAAACAGTTTTTAAAAGAAGATGATGTTCCTTAAAATGGGGAAACTTGCAAATGACTCAGATGCATACAGTGAAATCATGTTGTTGGTAAGCAGTTGGGCTGGCAGAAGCATCATCTGGATATGTTGGAGTTACCACCTGGGTGCTTTCTGGTCCTTTGATTTTATTTCATTTTCCTGTTAAACTGGAAGAAAAAGTTCTTTGACAATGAATCTTCTCTTATGTGATCTGGGGTCTGATTAACCTTGCTTGGCTGATCTTAAAAGTCAGTTCAAGTAAACAAAGGACCTTTCTCAAGAAAGGTCAGTGGAAGGTTGCCCTGTGACATCTGTTCTGAGCTAGAACCTGGAAAGGATTCCTAGGCTTCTTGATGAGAAAATGTCATTTAAATAAATGGACCAAAAGAAGAAAGGGAAGAAAGATAAATGAGGAGGGTGTGGCACTGAAATCCATTTCTACTGTATGGAGAGGTAAATGTAGGCCCTAAGTTTGCTATGTGCAAACAAAATAGCCTCCGAAGTGAGGCTAATGTTAACGTGATTTGATGTTTGAAGGTTAGCATGATACAATTTGCCAAACCATTTTTTTTACATACTGTTTACTTGAATTGTCACAAACTTTCCGAATATTTGATCAAATTTTGGTCTGGATATAATGTCTTTTTAAAAAGATTTTATTTCATCTTCAGAGAGAGGGGAAGGCAGGAAGAAAGAGATGGGTAGAAAGATCAATGTGTGGTTGCCTCTTCTGCACCCTGACTGGGAACTGAACTTGTAACTCTTTGGTTCAAGGTCACACACTCAATCCACTGAGCCACACCAACCAGGGCTGGATATACTGTCTTATCAACACATTATGTGTGAAACTGAGGCACAAGAGTGCATTACTTTCCAATGAAGTTCTCCTTTATTTCATACTCACACTATCTTATGGTAAGGACCGGAAGTTCTTTGATGGGACAAAAAGAATTAATGCCAAGGTTGAGTGAGTTACAGCCACTAACACCTAATTAAAATGATTTTGTGCCAGTTGCTTGTGTTGGGCTGGATCCACACATAATATAATTTTAATCCTGTTTATATATACCCTCGGGATAGATTTGAGATCAGCATTGCCATTTAAGTGAGGTTAATCAAGCATACTCTATGCAGCTTTATTTCTCCATTGTATGTGAAAGGTGACCACTGCTGATGGGTTACCCAACTGGCCGCTCACTCTATTAACAAGAAAGACGTGGTTTTCATTGTCTGATCATTAACCCAGCCTCAGCCCCCGCGACTCCTTCTGCCTAGTCCTTGGAATAGTGCAGCTGTTGTCAGTCACAGAGGAGAACTCTAGTTAGGCACTGCTTTGCTTGGCTGTGGTTACATGCCTCTACACAAGGGGAGGGGGAGGGAGAAAAAGGGAAAAATACAACTCCCCTAAAAAGCAAACACCATTTTTTGTATGCCTGGCTCTGTTTATGTATATAAAATGGACATTATGGTGAAGTGAAAAAGACCCTCGTAAAAATCCTTCTTGAAAACTATTGTTGCTGACAGCCGTGACCTCTGTGAGTCTGCATGTTTACCCATAATTCATAATTAACAAAGACATTAGAACTGCCACATGAGAATTCTGGGCTTTATTTCTTTCTAACTGGGCAGTACTAATGCTGGAAGTGCTCCCAAATCAGTGATTTAACATTTCAGGAAATCTTGGAGAGGCAG